AAAGAACTAAATAAACTCACGGGAGTTAGATCCATCAATAGCTATTAGCCAGGATGGGTCGAAATGCTGTTCCTGGACTCTGTTGTCAGAGACTAGAAATGGATGACAGAAGAGGGTCACTTGATGATTACCTGTTCACTCCCTCTGGGGCATCTGGAATTTGACACTGTTGGAAGATGGGATACTAGGCTAGATGAACCTTTCTTTGGTATGGCTGTTCTTATGGGGGGAGGAGGGGTTTGAGCTTATTTGCCTTTTATAGGCAGCAGGAGTGACATTTTCATACAACATTTTTCCAAGGGCAAAAAGGGACTACACCCCCTGGCCCTTGTTAACCACGCCCTGACCCCCCATTAGCTATGCCTCTGGAGGTAACACTCTTGGGGTCAAGATGGACACATGATCAGAAGTAAAAGGTGTCATGTGACCCCCTCTAAGAACTTTTCCCACCATCCTCCTACCAATAGGGATGAGTTTGGCCCCAATCAAACCCCCCTCATGCTACTATCCTGCAATTACATTAACCCAATGTGTGTCACATTAACTCCGGGGGGATGAAGGGGTGGAAGAGGCTGGGGGAAGTGTTCCTTCTAAAAGTTTCCTCCCATGAGCAGAATTAATTTTGTGTTTTGCACCAGCACTGAGTTCGTGTGGCTTGTTTGAATGTGCCACTGTGGCACCCAAGCTATTAATAAATATCTTAGGATATGTCTACACTAGCTCCCTAGTTCGAACTAGGGAGGTTAATGTAGGCATTCGAAGTTGCAAATGAAGCCCGGGATTTAAATACTTGGAAACCTCTTCTACAAACAAAGGAGGGCATAACATTTAATGTACATAGACCCTTTGGAATGTCATCCTTTGTTCTAGTCATTGACCTAAAGTAAATGGCATTTGCAATAAAATCATGAAAAAGCTTAGTTTTAACCATATCACCAAGACATGCTTCAATGAGTTCACAGGACAGTCAACATCTTCTGACATTCTGAACCAACTTCTATGCCCCGTCGCCATTAAAGTCAGCATCTTTTCATCCTTTGAAAGTTATGCTCTTCGGCACTGTCAGTTTTTTACAGAAAATTGAGTCTAAAATTTACACCCAAACTTGAAAAACAAAACAAACAAGAAAATAAACCAAACTACAGGTTGAGCCTCTCTAATCCAGCATCCTCTGATCCTGAATGGTGCCAGAGAATTTGCTGAACTCCAGGAGGTCAGTATTGTCAAGCAGCATTACCAAAACTTCCACTGATTACTGGGTGCTTAAGAGACATTTAGGGGTAAATTACAGCTAAACAACAGCACAGAATAATAAAAGCCAGAACTGGTGACTGGTGATTGTAAACAAACTATGGGACTGCAGGAAACTTGGCCACCCACATGATAAGAGGACATCTGGCTAACTAAAATTATGCAGGACCACAGATGTTGCCTGACCAAGGAAGTTCAACTCGTAAAGTGAAAAAGCTAATGTGAATCAAACAGCCCCTTCTTTTCAACTAATCAGTTAGTTTGAGAGGTGGAGTTTCAAAATTCTTGGTGAAATCTATAACTTTAGGTGTGAGCCATGTAAACTCAAAATGTTTTTCTATATTGCAAAAATAATTACTAAGAAAACCCAACAATTTACAGGGTACAATTGCCAAAGTAGAAGAGTATAAGATCAGATAGATATGGGGATATTAGGAACAACAAGAAAGCTAAAGCATAACTAAAACCAGATCTATAGCTGCTTCTTACCAATATGTATTTGAAATGTCAACAGAACACTGAGTCATCACTGTACTAATGATATATTTTGGTCAAGTATCATTAGTTTAAAATAATACAGGGGCATACAGTTCATTGGGAGTTTTATCCTATGTAAAAACTAAAGGATCCATTCATATTTAATTTTAAAATGAGTGATTGTGTATTATCATACTTGACACTTGGCAAAGAGGTTGTAACACTAAGAATAAAACAATAAGCAATATGAAGTAATGACATCAGAAATTCAGCCACTTCTAAAGTTTGAAGTAGCATACAAATTCTCATTTCATATCTGCATCATCATAACTTTGATTGAATGGCTTTTACTTCATTTGAAGTGATTTGGTTTGATTTTCACAAAGGAGGCAGGGTTGGGATGGGACCTGAGACTAAAGCAAAAGAAAAAAAATATATAATCCATAGGTGATGATTTTCATAAAGGTTTGGGAGAAAGACTTGAATTGACTTCAACAAGCTCTTAGGCTTCAAGCACAGTAATCCCACTGTGACCAGGGAGACTAGTCACATAGTAAATGTAAGTATGTGTGTGTGTGTTTTCTAGAATGGGGTCTGTGACTATATGCATAAACCTTGCATTAGGACTTAAAGTGTTAAGGAGCCACTCTGTGCATAAGTGAGATCCTCCAGCTACACCTGCAGAGCATGCTCCAGCCAGAGGCAGAGCTTAAGAAGGCGCCAAACAGTCCAGACAAGGCAGAGAGAGAGAGAGAGAGAGGAAGGCCAATGCAGAAACCTTCTCTTGGAGAGGAAGGGTCTACTGAACCCAGTGGGGCTGAAGTTCCCTTGGGACCTTTCTCTCACTACTTTGCAACAGATTGCAAGTTTTTGACAAGAGAATGAGTAGCAGAAAGTGGCTAGGAACACAGCCTTAAGGCACCCTTGGATAATGGATATTTGGTAGTCCTTACAGGACCCTGAGGCGGAGCCCACTGGAATGAGAGGGCCGGGGCTCCACTATCAACCCTCTTTGCCCATTAAGAAAGCTATGACATATCTCACCTTCTAGACTTCCCCCTGTTAAACCTAATGTTTCTCTGCAACATATTTAAAGATAAAAGTACTGCTTCTCTGACATCCTCTTATAGTGTGACCAGAGAAGAGGGAAATCTCCTCAATGAAAGCTGGCAGAGGGAACAGCATAACTCACATCACGCCTGACACACACACACTGCACCAACACACTGTTGTCATAATCTATGTCTAAAAGATTTCATGTCTGATATAATATGCAAATGGATAACTATTGCACGATCTACACACAGGTTCTCCACAAAGGATTATAGATGTGTGCTGGAAATATGTCCCTAAATGGTATTTTGCAAGCAGGCAACCCCACCTGTCCTAGACAAAGGAATGTTATTTCACCTGTATCTCCAATGTAAGCTTTCCTGTGTCTCCAATGTAAGCTGAGCCAGGTAATAGCTCAGAGGATAATAAAAAGTACATTTATATGTAAGTTAAATGAAGCAACCAAGCTAAACAAATATGAGGAAGGCATTTAACACTCACTCCAGGGGATGGAGCTTGCACACCCCTAAGAAGACTTATTGGCTCTTGAAACAGACAGCATACTTTGGAAATATACCCAGGCAAAGAAACTTGTTTTGGCATCCATCACCTTGGGGACAAATGTTGGGAGCAACACCTTTCAGTTCATAATGCATGCTTTGGCTCTAAAAACATAAAATAGTTGGAACTGAATATATGTGAGAAACCTGCTTAGACAAAGGCCTCCTTACATTTTAGTTACTCCAAAACATGTTTTATTTTCCTGGTAATCATATGTGCCTTCTGTTCTTACTTAGTATGCCTTAAATATTTATTATTTTGATGCTTGTTTTATTTCAAATTCATCTCAGGGTTGTGTATTAAACTGAAGGGTGATGTCCACAGCTGAGCTAACACGCTGGTGAATGCTTCAACTCTTTTGGAGGCAGAGAACTTAATAATGTCTGAGAGCATGCAGGGAGAGGCCGGGACACTACAGAAACATTTCTGGAGAAAGTGGGAATTGGGGCTCATTGACTGTTAGCTGCTATGCTAGCTTGGGACTGGCAGAGATCTGAGGAGTTTGGTGACGCCAGAATTAGGTATTTTTGCACCGGGATCAACATATTAATTCTGCCCCCCCTCTTAGGTTAGCACATGTTGCGCTCTTTACATTCACAGCTTATCATTTCTAATTATTGTGCCTTTGCATTCCTGATTATGATGTGCCCCGCTTGACCCACCATTGTTGTGGCCCTGCTGGCAAGACAGGATCCTGCATCAAGGGGGCTGACACACAGCTTAGTAACGGCAAACCTAACTCCTGTTGAAGAGGAATGGTAAGACAGTTCTTTGTGACCTGAACAAGACAACATGTATAGACTTTTGATATACAGATAAAAAGCTAATTTTACTCTATTTTGCACTAGCTCAGTTTTGTACTAAAAGCAGACAATACTTACAAACACTGGTTATAATTAATTAGCTAATGCTTCAACCCCTGTCTTCCTCAAGAATTCTTGTTGAAAATTATGCTTGTCTTGGGACTTGAAAGAATAGAGGAATTAACTATAGTTTCCTGAAAACCTTCTTGTCATCCAAAATGCTTTTGTTTTGTGCACTGTGAAATATATTGGTTCCAAAGATTTACTTCCAGGAGCTTGGTAGTTTGCTAAGATCAGTCTGTAATACTGCTAGCGAATGACTGCTCCCAAGCCAGTGCTTAATAATTTGTTTCGCCTTTAAAACAGTTTATCTTAGTATCTTAACTTTTAATATTCTCATGAGAAGCTATATTCACCAAGAATTAAGTTAGTCCTCACAGTCAAAGAAAGTTTTAAATGAATGGTTGAAATGTGTTGTCTGCTCTTAATACTAAAGGGATTTTTAAACATACCAGTTTTGAACTTTCACATCCTCAAACAAAAATCCTATCCTGCTGCTGACTTACTATTGCAAATGATAAACCTACCTTTTCTCAATAGTCAACAAGTACCAGACTGGGCCTGAGAAATGGACAACTCAAAACACTGGAGGACCAGTGAGCTTCATATTTTCTCGAAAGAAAGATATGGACAGATTTTAGAATTTCAAGTTTGATAGGGGGAATATTTTCCTAAAGCAATGGTTCTTAACCAAAATAACAATATTCAATGTTACTCTACCAGGAAAGAAGCTTGGAGAAAATATAAGTATAAAAATATAAAAGTACTCTTATAGATAACAGAATGAAGAAGTACCTTTTTACATCTTCACCATTCCAACAGGCTAGCCCATCAGCAGCTGCTAACTCATTGATGCACAGATGATCAGCCAGGCCTCCATAGAATGTCTTGAATAGTCGCAGACTGTTCACAAATTCTCTACCAAAACCAAACAAACAAAATCACAGGAAAAATAATTAACATGGCAATACTGAGCAATCAAACTATTACACATTGTTACAAGAAATCAAAGAATGTGCCATTTTTGTCACTCTGTTGACTTGCATTTATTAGTCAATTCATCAATATCTTTTCTAGATACATTAAGTGCCCTGAAGGAAACACTACTTAATAGCTTACAAAGTTAACATTACCCTTTGTGAAAATCAAACCAAATCACTAGAGCTCTGCCTGAATAAAAAAATTTATATCTGCAGTCACATCTGCAAAAGTGATCCAAGGATACCCACATGCACATCTGCTGATACCCAAAAATATAAAATGGATATCCACAAATTTGCAGGATTCTAGATACAAAATTTGTATCCACATATACAAAATGAGCCACAAATCCACATCCACGGATACAAAACAGATATCCATAGATCTGCAGGGATCTACAAATCACAAACTGATGGTCTGTAAAATTACTTTCTTGATTTTCACCTCACTTCATTTCCAATCCTTTCCTTACTGCTGCTCTGGGAAGCAACACATGTGTATCAATAAGCCAGTATTCCAAAAAACACAAGTCTAAATACTTAGTCACCTTCATAGATGTCCTGATTTTAAGAAGTATTTAATATTCAATAGCTTTTTTCCTGGCTTCAAGCTATGATACAATGACTATCTATTAATTAAGGAATAATGGGGAGATGAAATTTTGGGTAAAACAGGTTTATGGTGGAGATGATATTTTTGGCTGTTTAAATACTGTTTGGATAATTTATTTCAAAATTTTTGGCATGTTATGCTATTGGAGTATTTGTTTACATATACATATTTATTTTAAATAATTGTCAAATTGCCTAGAACTGGGACACATTGAGTAGTTAAATCAAACAAATAAATACCTATTAAATTATTGGATACTAATAAGTAAGTGGACTATTATATTCATTTTTATAAACTACTTTCTAATGTAATGAAAATCTCTCCATGCAAGACTCATACCTGCTGTGAAAATATAAATATGTATCTGTTATGATTCAACATTTCACACTATGTGAGATTATCTATGTCCTACAGATATGAAGAAAGTCATCAATGCAATATTCACTGTCCTGCAAACCAACAGGCATAACGCTGTTAACTTCTGCCCAATGGTTGGAGATAGACAAAATTATGCTACAAATGCATTATGCATTTATCTGTACTTGGACAACATGACATTCAAAAAAGAGTATGAGGAATAAGTGCTATCCATTTTTAAATGAAAGCAAAGAAAATTAAATGTTTGTATACAGTCAGTCATTTAAAAAACGATGATTTTATCTAGAGACACAAGATGGAAGAGGTAATTTCTTTTATTGAACAAGTTCTGCTCTTCCATGGGTCTGGGGAAAGGTACTCAGAGTGTCACAAAGTGGGGAACAGATTATTTAAGACAAGTAGTTAACACATTCTCAGACTATTCAATGCACCATCGCATGTTAGCCCCAATGCAGTGATAGAACAGAAAAGGGGTGTCAATGGGTTACAGCCATAAATAATAAACTGTAATGAGCCATAAACCCAATATCTTTATTAAAACCATGATTTTTAGAATTCCGCAAAGTAATGAAGTTTAGACTGTATCTACACTACAGGGTTTTGTCAACAGAATAGTGACAGTGTGCACATGGTAATGCTCCTCCCAAATTAACTCCCCTGCTATGATGAGATAATGAGACCACCATGACAGATAGCACAGAGCTTTTTGTGGAAAAGATAGAGCAACACAGTGTCAGGGTATATACCACACTTGCTTATGTTGCTTTAAGTGACCTCCAGGTGTTCATCATAACTACTCAAGTGAGCAGTTTAAACTCTGCTGTCCTGCAGCCAGATACACAGGCATGCACCCTTCCCCCTTTAAAGGCTCAGGAATTCTTGAAATTTTAAATTTGGCAAAGAGAGTTTACTTAGCATCTTCTCATTTGTTGCTAACTATGACAGCTCCAAATGAGCTCTCTTCTAGAATAAACCAAAGCTGCTGGATCCAGGGGGATACGTGGGGAGAGGAGTCTGGGCAGTCAGAGCTCACATCCAGAGGAAGGACATTTACACCTATGAGCAGATTGCTCATGTGCATGCAGGAGATATACACTTGCATCTTTGATTATACTCAGTAGTGAGATATCAGCTTTGACCACCATTACTTGTGGAAATTAGTGCCGGTATTTAGAATAAGTGCTTGTCGTGATACCTTTCTGAAACCACCCAGACCCCATCTCCCATCTTACTACTTCCTTCCCCAAGTCTGAACACACCATATTTAGTGCTCTTGTGTGGCATGCTTGTGGCAAGGAAAGTTAGAAAGGGGTATGTAGCTTTTATGATTCAAGACTATGATTCAAGACTAAGTGCACTCACAATACTGACTCTTCAGATTGTTTCTTTTGCTTTTGCAGATTTGCCTTTGAGGACCAGCTCCTATAGACCATTGGAGTGCCTCCATCAGATAAGGAGGCAAATGAGGAGGATATATTTCAAGAAGTGCTGCAATACCACAAAGTAGTAGCTCTTCCTGTTGGTGTACTCTTGTTGCAAGTTCATCTGGGGTCAAAATTGGGATATCTGTGCCATCTATTGCCCAAGGGCAATTTTAGGAAACCCCATGGTAGCAAAGCCATTCACTATTTCGTGCATGATGCCCAGAATCACAGCCCTTTATAGCAGGAGTCGATGCATGACTCTGCACACTTTCATCACATCAATCCCAAGGTAGATTTTCCAATTCCAAACTGATTTGTGACTGACCAGTAGCAGCTTGGAGTTCCCAGCTTCCACACAGCTCTCGCCACACACTTTTCCCCTATGAAGGCAGCTCTCATTTTGGTGTCCTTGCACTGCAAGGGTGAGCTCCACATGCAGTTCAAAGGATATGGCTTTGTGCTTCCGACTGTTCTGCAGCCACTGCTCATTATCTCATAACTGCATCACAATTATATCCAAATACAGCACTGAAAAACATTGCTTTACCATCATTAACTAGAAGGAGGGGGAAACTGAAATAAAATAAAATAGGTAAGGAATAGGAAGGCAGCAGTAGACAATAACATTAATAAATAAGAATATATTGAATAAGGCAATATTTTGTAGTTTAAAAGTCTAGTAACTTTAAGCGTTCCAAGCAATTCAGTCTATCAGTGAAGTGTTACCGCCAATTAGAAATATGGACTGAGATTAGATAAAGATCACTCCAACACTGCAGGCAGGGATCAGTCAGGCATACTTAATCCAATAACATGTGAGGGTTGCACAGATTTAGGAGTTACGATTGATCTGTAAATATGGACCAATTAGAAGGGGTCTGAAAGTGACTTGAGAATAGCTATGCTCATGCTAGCATTGAAATATAAGCCAATCAGAACAGGCCAAAATCTGTACATAAGGCAGATCGCGGGCAGGCAAATGTTAGTAAAGATAGGAGCAGGAGCAGAAGACGACCCAGAAGAGATCAGAAGAAACCTAAATGAGCAAAGAATTCAGAAGAAGCAGCAGAGTGGATCATATAGTGACAGCAATAGCAACAGAATGCTGGGACAGAACAGAGAAGGATAAGCTTAAAACATAACAGTGGAAAGAAGACTACAGAGAGTAAGCATGCCAGCCATAGTATAATATACAGTATAGAAATAGGGTTAACGAATATGAATGCTTGGGATAATAAAGATGAATGTCTGTTGAATGGTAATATTATGTATAAAGTTTACAATATTAAGATTGCTGTCTGCATCCTGCATATGCTGCTCTGTGGATCCCAACATCAATCTTGAATTGTTTCTTTCCATGGCAAACTGCAGGGCAGGCACCAAGAATTCTTGTTCAAAAATTAAGCTCATAAAATACTGTAGGATCAGCTGCACTGTGGGCATAAGGCTCATCACAAGAGAGGCCGGCATGCTTTCAGGCAGAGATGAGGAGCACAAAGTTTACTAGACAGCTGAAAAACAGCAAGAAACATCGTTGGAAGCCTATGGAATGATTTGACAGAAAAAACTGCATCATGGGGCCATGGGGCTCTGTCTGGGGGGGGGGGGGGGTTGGTC